TTATTATTATTATTAATAATAATAATAACAACATAATACTATTGCACACAGTATTTATTTTCCTGTGCTCTCAGTTACTGAACCTGTTGATTATGAAGTGGGCTTCTTGGCTATACTAGTTTTATTTTTGTCACAGCCTGATCACCATTAATATTTCTAGGTTATATAAGTGTAACTTCGTAGGTTTGGCCCTGTATTGGAGTTTGGGTGGGAAAAGGTATTTTGCCCAAGTGGGAGGCACAGGAGAGTTGTGAGGGGAAAGAGAGAGTTCAGAGGAGGAAAAAAAGGAGACAGAAGCCATCTGGGTCTGACGGCACAGAACAGAGTGTTCTGAGAAGGAGCCTTGAGAGATCTGCAGCAATGCAAAAAGTCCCAAGAACAGCAGTATTACCACCACAGAGAGCCAGGCAAGATGCCGCAGACAGAGTGTGAGAAACTTTCAGAGGGCCTTAGAGAGACAGGAAAAGACTCCAATTGCTTCTTTAGTCCCAACTGTAAGTCATGTTGTCTAAGTCTGAGTTTTGTATACGTGTGTTCTCCTTTCATTCTCTATCCTTCTTTGTTGAATTAAAACCTATTTTAAGTTCTCCTTGTGTATTGTTAAAGGTGACTGGAGGGTCTGGGAGCTGTGTTTGAATTTTTCTTTAGGAAGTAAAGGCCAGAGGGCTGGAGGCACTGCTGCTTTCTTTTTGTCACTCTCCCTCTTCCATTAACAGACCCAGGTCCCAGTCAGTGAGGTTCTGGGTACTGTTTTGCATAATATAATTACGACAATTCCTCTCAGCAACATGATATAATTGCGACAATTCCTCACAGCAACAATTTGGTGCAACGACACAACCACAGTGATTACCTGCACTAGTCACTACATACTGTCACTATGGCAGTGAATAAAATTAAAGCCTCAGTGATTGACTATTTTGGGAGCTCTGTATTGACAACAATGAAGATTTTGAAGGTTTGCTGCTTCATACTGATGTTTATTAACTATCAAAAGGCAACTGTGTGAGATACTTTTGCACCCTTTTGACACCATTGTGGAGTTCTTTTGAACAGATGCTTTGCGCTGTGATGCTTTGCTCAGTAATGAACTCAGAGATCAGAACTATTTGAAAAGTTCAAGGCCAAATCTGTCATCTCTACGTTTATTTCACAGTAAACTCTATTCAAATGCAACATAGGACATCACAGGCTATACCAGTTTCTGACCCTGTCTGAACTAGAAGAGAAAGGTGGGATACAAGATGATGCTGTGCACGTTTTTTGTGACCATTTGGATCTGATGCATGAAGATATCTCTGAGTGGTCTGAGGATCTTCTTTTGATGGAAATTCCACATTGGGTGATAAACCTGTTTTCAGGTACTGAGGAAGTTGGGGGTAGTGAAAGAATTGATTGAACTACAAAATGACATTGAACTGAAGCCAAAGTTTAAGAAGAGTTCTTATTACAAAAGAAAATAAAACCACTCTAGTTAAGAAGCTCCTTGTTGCATTTCCAACTTTATATTTGGTGGAAGGTGGTTTTATTGTAGTCACTCAGTTCCTCTCCAAGCAACGAAATCAACTCGATTATGAAATGTGGTGATTTTAAGATCCTCGCTAAGTGACTTTAAACCAGGCATTAGGAAACTAGTATCACTTCATCAATCCCATCCTTCATATTAAGAATTTACTGAACAGTGATGTAACTGAATTTTTGCTAAGATTTTGCTAAATGACTATCAAACGTCGTTAAATAGATTAAACTAAGAAGTTTTAACTGGATTTTGAATAAATGCGTAATTAACTGTTACTGTTTTGAATGTTATTGTTATTATTTTCCTTAGCAGGTCATGGAAACTACTATTCCAAATAATGCTTTTTATAGGGTAGCAGACACTGGAGGTGAGTTTACGGAACCAAGGGGGCAGTGGCCCAAAATGTTTGGGGAACAATGAGATAAACTAATCCCAAATCTATCGCTATAGCCACTTAAGATAAACTACCCAGTGACAGACAAAGGAGAGAGAGCAGGCAAGCAAAGACACCATCAAATATCTGCCCCTGGTTCAGCTAAGACTTGCCTTAAATTTTTAAAAAATGCTTTATAATCTATTCTCTCCTTATACACCTATAAATCCTCTCACAGGTCCATTATTTTTATATTTTTGAGGAGTGTTTTTATTTTTAAAGTGAAATGTTGCGTCTTACAGATATTGTGAGCTACCTAGGCTATGATCGGAAAATAGGATTCAGGTGCAATAAATGTTACTTTAGGATTTGTTCCTAATTGTACCTGCATACAAAGAAGGAAACAATTTCACGAATATATTCAGAAGAGTTCTTATTACAGAAGAAAATAAAACCACTCTAGTTAAGAAGCTCCTTGTTGCATTTCCAACTTTATATTTGGTGGAAGGTGGTTTTATTGTAGTCACTCAGTTCCTCTCCAAGCAACGAAATCAACTCGATTATGAAATGTGGTGATTTTAAGATCCTCGCTAAGTGACTTTAAACCAGGCATTAGGAAACTAGTATCACTTCATCAATCCCATCCTTCATATTAAGAATTTACTGAACAGTGATGTAACTGAATTTTTGCTAAGATTTTGCTAAATGACTATCAAACGTCGTTAAATAGATTAAACTAAGAAGTTTTAACTGGATTTTGAATAAATGCGTAATTAACTGTTACTGTTTTGAATGTTATTGTTATTATTTTCCTTAGCAGGTCATGGAAACTACTATTCCAAATAATGCTTTTTATAGGGTAGCAGACACTGGAGGTGAGTTTACGGAACCAAGGGGGCAGTGGCCCAAAAAGTCTGGGGAACAATGAGATAAACTAATCCCAAATCTATCACTATAGCCACTTAAGATAAACTACCCAGTGACAGACAAAGGAGAGAGAGCAGGCAAGCAAAGACACCATCAAATATCTGCCCCTGGTTCAGCTAAGACTTGCCTTAAATTTTTTAAAAATGCTTTATAATCTATTCTCTCCTTATACACCTATAAATCCTCTCACAGGTCCATTATTTTTATATTTTTAAATTTTTTGAGGAGTGTTTTTATTTTTAAAATGAAATGTTGTGTCTTACAGATATTGTGAGCTACCTAGGCTATGATCGGAAAATAGGATTCAGGTGCAATAAATGTTACTTTAGGATTTGTTCCTAATTGTACCTGCATACAAAGAAGGAAACAATTTCACGAATATATTCAATGTTGTCTGACCTAGTTCAAATACTTTCTGAATCAGCAAACATACGCTTAGATTAAGAGGAAATACACACATTCCAGAATATGTTGCAGACAGTTACATTGTTGCTAATATCTGATAACAGGATGCCAGGTTTTAAGAACTAGGATGAACAAAGCACTAAAATAGCATCATCCCTCTCAAAACATTTAAATTCTTTAATTTATGCCTTTCTGGGCTTCACATGTAGCTATTTAATCATCATATATTTAGAAGAGTTATATAAAACTACCTTGCAGTATATGCAAACTCCACGAGCTGCTCGATAATATCTGGCTCTGCATCTTTTAATTCCACTTCAAATGACTTTGATTCAATCATATTTGCTGTAATTAGATCAGAAATATTGTCATTTCATTCTGATAGTTTTTAAAATCTAGCTCTCAAAGAGAAGAATAAATTTCACAGTGAAATGTCACAGTGTTTAAGGAACATCAAGGTGATTTCCCAGAAGTTAGGGTCAGAATGGGCAAAAGAATTCAAATCAGGCAAGGCCTCACCTAATGTTTTCTGCACTAAAATATTTATCTAATCATGTCAAAAGTTTTGCCTAAAGTAAAACAAACTATACCAAGAATAGGAGGAAGAGAAGAAACGGTTACTTTAAGGTATCTGTAACGTTCAATTTCACAAAGTATGTTTTCAAGATTTGGACACTTTTCACAGTATTTTTACTTTTGTTCTGCCTACCTAAACATATTTTAAAAGTGTTTATATAACAAGATACTTACAGCACAGCTTTATCCACTTTATCCATACAATAGCTTGTACATTTAACATCAATTTCAACTTGATGAAGGAAACAAAACTTTACAGTACTGTCTTGCTGCTAGAACCCACCCCCCCAATTGTCAAATCTCAGAACCAAGCAGGGTTGGCCCCAGTTAGTATTTGGATAGGAGACCACCAAAGAAGTCCAGGACTGCTACAGAGAGGCAGGCAATGCCAAACCACCTCTGAAAGTCTCTTGCCTTGAAAACCCTATGGATTGCCATAAGTCAACTGGGACTTCACGGCACTTTCTACCCCCTAAATGACATCAGAAATATGAAGCTGGTTCACAGTTCCACACACCAGTTCCTGCCTTAGACATTTTCATACATGAAGCGAGATTTTTAAAAGGAGAAACTCCCCTTCTCTGAAGTCTACTTTTAATGACATCTAAAGGTGATAACTAGAGACAAAAAGATGTCACTTCTACAGAACCAGTTGTATATGGGGATAATTGCAGCTTAGAAAGCTTCCTAAGAAATTCCTAAGAAATAATTGCAGCTTAGATAGTTTCCTAAGAAATCACATAAAAGGAAATTCAACAGACCCCATCTCAGACAATACTTCCTTGCACGGTGCTGCATTTAGGTTACTTTTTAAAATAACTTCTATCTGTGTGCTGGTACAGCAACACTGATAAAAGAGATTTAAAAATAGCATGGAGAATGATGGAACAAGGCTGAAGAAGTTTTACTTATATATGACTATACCAACTACCTCCTTCTTTGTAGGCCAGGCCAGTACACGGAATGGAAAGATTTTAAAAACTGTAATAAAAGCTGAACTGGAGAAGGCTTACTGGTGAACATCAGGTTAAAGAAGTGACTGGCAGATGCAAGTACAACACGATGAGCTGGAATCTTCCTTTCCTGGACCATGAGAATGACATCACAAAGAGTTTTCTAACAGGAATAAAAATGTAACAGTATGGATATTCAGAACATTTTAACTGTTCACAGTAGTCTGTAGAATAGATAATAGTCTTTCCAGCAAGTAGAGATGTAAAATTTCTGGAACAAAATGGAAATTTTCGGAATTTAAACATCCCCCCGAATTTTTTTCAACTTTTTAAATTTTTGTGCACATGTGGGGACTGCCCCATGTGTGCACAAATCTCCCCCTGCCCCCCAAGTGCCCCCAAAGTGCAGATATAGATATCCGCACGGAGGGGGCAACTTGGCTATTAGTATAAGGATTACTGTCAACACCCCTCCTCACTTCTGACCACCCAACACAATAAAATAGGGGGAAATATTTAGAAATGGGGGGGGGGAGCTCTTCAACATTTCAGGGAGAAGATCTGTTTAACAGGATGCCTTTTAAAATGAATATCGTGTTTTTTTCTTTCAACACACACCGCTTATTTTCAGTCAGACAATAAAGATCATTTTACTATTATGGCAGCTGCTACCAAAGCAATATTTTAAAAGATCTACACAGAAGCCCTCCTCCTGGTCTAAAGACCCACCTGGCTCTACTCACTTTCTCAAAACACTTGGTGAGAGCCTAGAAAGGTGTTGGTGGGCACCATGGTTGGTGGGCACCACATTTGGGTCCCCTGCTCTATCAGTATTAAATCTAGTCTATAATTAACATTATTTTTTTTACTGCAACTACAGATATGATCATTTGATTACAAGAAAAAGGACTAGAATTTCCTGTTGTCCTTAGTTAGAAATCCGAAAAAAGTGTTTCAACAAATGTTTCAAACAGTACATTTTCACAGTTGCTAGAATGTTAATTCACAGTTTGTGTACTGTTTTGATTCCAAAATATATATTTCTTTTTTAAAAACCCCTCAAACAGACAGCACAAGTTAGTGAGCTAAAAAATGTCATACCTTACATTAATTTTGTAACATCTATAACAATGACACAAATTACTACAACAGAATTTAAAAAACAGGTAATAGAATCAGGATAAATTCAAGTGATCATCTATCACAAATAACAGGTCCGTCAATGACCTGGTTCCAGTTTTACTTAGAACTTTTACAGGAGAGAATGATGCGTAGAAGGCTTACAATGATGCTGCTTTCTATACATTGACCAACAACACTGAGAGGTGCCCTGCTGAATCAGACCAATAGTTCATCTAGTCCAACATCCTTTTTCACACAGTGGCCAGCCAGTTACACTAAAGGGCCAACAAACGAGACACAGAAGCCAAAGCCTCCCCCTGGTGATCCATTCTAACACAGGCATTCACAGGTTCCCTTTACAGGTTTCCCTTTAGTAATTGATGCACCTTTCCCTCATGAGTCTAATTCCTTTTTAAAGCAATCTATGCTAGTGGCCACCACTGCACCCTTTGACAACGAATTGACTAAAATATCCAATTCATCATGCCCTATACTCAGTCAAATGGGTAGAATTGACCAAACCATGCCAGATCTTAGAATATATAGCCAACATTTTTTTTCTTTCTGGTACTGTGAAGGGGACTCCCTGACCACAGCCTATCAATAGTGCTCATGGCTAAGTGAGAACAAGCTGAACCTACACATGGGCATCACCAAAAATAGATGCTGAAGTGGGATTTCTGTACCCCTTGAATCATCCATACAAAGACAATATACCACATATCACTTAACATAAGTTAGCAAAGACACAACAGAGTAATTAAATGTGCTAGCAGCGTGGGAGGTTCTCCTCCTCCTAATGTATCCTTATAAGGATGGCGGCTCCTTCTGAAAGCTAATACGGGACCGAGCTAAAGTAATGGCCTGGTTTAGCACATACCCGGGTAAGAAAAGGAGCTTCTACCACAACCCCATTGGGTAGTCTCACGGTCTCCACGGCAACTCCCACTCCACTTAAAATACAGGATGACAATACTGTTCAACCTCACAGGGCTGCTGTAAACGGCAACCTAGTTTAGTAGGCACCACTCCCTGCTACTCTAGGAATGTCCCAACAGGACATTAGAAGAAAGCGGCCCTCCGAAACGGTCTCTCCTTTATTTAAGTCTACTCTCCCGGCTTTGCTTTCAGCTCCCCCTCTTCCGGTCTTACTTGTTTCCTCATGGTGTTCATGACTCCCATAAAGCTGGCCAATAATTTGGCTTCTTCCCGAGCCGCGAGTTTCTTTTCCGTTTTCTTCTTGCTGTTTTTTTCCGAGGCCGCCATGCTCCCCTCGTCCTTCTCTCACTGCTAAAGAAACAGGGGCTTCTCGAGAGCCGACACAAGGAGGGTCATACACAACACTTGAGTTGCGGCGAACAACCGGCAGAAGCCACAATAACTCTTTACCTCGCTCGGAGGGGTGTCTGAGCCCCACAAAGACAGGCAGGCCGCGAGAACTGCCCCTACTTCTCACGACAGGCGCCAGTAACCAATCAGAACACGGCTCGCCGCCTCGCACACCTGGAGGCAACTCGCGACACCGCTCCTGCAAAGAAGGCCGAGCGCCTGGAGGTGGGAGCGAGGCGGGGAGGTAAACAAAGAACTGAGCAGGCACGCGCGCGCAGTGGCGTCACGGCGCAGGCAGCGTGCCCATAACAAACAAAGAAGCGAGGAAGAGGACACAGGGTGAGCGCGCATGTGCAGCGATGAGGTGTGTCGTATGGGCTTTGATGGTGCTTCTGTGGTGCAGTAGAAATGCAACCTAAACGCAAAAGGGATTTACAGGGCGATTCTAAAAAGAAACATAACTGCCTAAGCTCATTGACTTCAATGAAGTCAGAACGGCATTAAGTCTGCTTAGGCTATCGCTACAAGTAGCCCATTTCTAAATTCTTCGGTCCTAGTAAGTATGCTCGCTCGCCTATTACTTGGAAATAAGAGTCCACCGATTTTAACTGGATTTAGTCTCGAGTAAGTGTATATAGAATTGCAGCCGTGTAGCCCGACTCTATGCATACTTAGTAATGACGTCTGCTGAGTTCAATTAGACTGCTTTTTTCGTTGCCTAAACTGTGATAAACTTTATAATAAATTATTTCAAGAGCTAAGAGGGGAAAAGAAACAATAAGCAAACTGTGCCGATCTGGATGTATTGGTGCTGGAAATCCTACCCAAGTTGCATCTTCCCAAACTCTGTACGTTTAGCGAAAGACACAGATATGCAGTGACTTGAAGGCACATAATGCACAATGTTGTTACATGATATTTCTTGCTTTCAAAGTGCTTTATGTTGGGCCAAATGCTTAATAAATATTTTTAATTAACATTGATAAGAGTAAGACTGTGTCTAATTCATTCTCTGCTTGTTCCTATGACTTTTTGAGCCTGTTTTATTTAAAGCCCAACAGCTGCTGCCTGTTAAGCATAGCTATATTTATATTCTATCAATAGATAGAACTCGAAAAACTATCTTTAAACATTCAATTTTTTGATTTAGACAAATTGCATTTTTTTTGAGTTCTTAATGTTTGTCCAGCTACAAATACTCTCAAAATATGGGAAACAGTGGTCCAACTTTTGCTTTATATTATTTCTAAGGCTGAAATATTCTGCACACTTATGAACACCGTGTGCAACTTACTTACATGCACAGCATCAGGCAACAAATTAGTACATCTGAGTTTTATACATTACCTAACAGGAGACCAGCCAGTGACACAAACTGCAGCAGTTTGTGGCATATCACAGGAGAAGCAGGGCTCTTTAATCTGGTACTGGCATAGTCAGGTTATCTCCCATTCTTGTCCCTGACTTAGAAGGCTACATGTAAATCAGGTAGGCAACTGAATGGGGGGGGGGGAATGTCCTATACCCTGGACAGAAGTTTAATGAGTTGAAATGGGAACACCACCTAATAATTGCTTGTAGATCTAGCTGACATTAAAGGGACAGCTACTAAGATTGGTTTAAAACTTGGCAACCCTGTATGCAAAACCACAGCAAGGTACCAAGATGGTATGTGTCTGCACGTATATATGTATATCTATGGTAACATACTTGAGAGTGGCGCTGTCTCATGTTTTGGACCTAACATACCATACCATTAAAAAGATGGCCACTACCATGTTTATTTATTTATTTATTAGTATTTTTACCCCACCCTCCCCGCGAGCGGGCTCAGGGTGGCTTACAAGAGGGCAACAATGCCCACATATAAAACAATATTAAAACAACTTAAAACAAAAATAAAATCCTCGAATCACAAAACAAATGTTAATACATTTACCTGTCATTTGCTGCTAATGCTAAAGACATGTTTAAGTATAAATAGCTGCATTAAATCTTAGGAAGTTTTGGATGTGTCCATACCTACAATATTTTCATGTGATGTACAGCTGATACTCATATGAGGGGGTGGCACATGTCCAACCAACATCCCATGATTTATATTTCTTGTATGAGAAGTATGTGTGCCACATTAATGAGTTCTCGTTCCATCCATTTATTGTCTCTTCTGCATTATTAGACCTCTTTTCTTTTTATTAAAAAACATGCTGTGCACCTGGGAGTTTATTAATTATTTTCACCCTTGTTTCAGTTGATCAGCAGAGGAAGTGTTGTTCTGGTTGGTTCTTCTGGACCTCTGCAGCCTTTGATATAATCCAATATGGTATGCTTCTGGACTGCTTGTCTGGGATGTGCTTGGGAGGATCAGCATTATGTTGGTTTTGTTCCAGTAGGTGATACTGAGTGGCTTTTGTTTGGCCACTTGGGGTCCTGCATGCTTCAATCCTGTAATCCATCCTGTTTAACAACTCTGTGGAATTGCATGGGGAGATGATCAGGAGTTTTGGAGCATAGTGCCAAAAACATTGTCTGGAACACCTGCTAAGACTAATTGAAAGCTGCAACCATCCTGAGAGTAAATCAACACAAAACGTAGGGATGCCAGCTTCCAGGTGGGAACTGGGGATCCCCTAGAGTTACAGCCCATCTCCAGACTACAGAGATCAGTTCCTCTGGAGAAAATGGATACTTCGGAGGGTGGACTCAGTGGCACTGTAAAAGGTAAAGGTCCCCTTGCTCGAAAGCCAGTCGAATCCGACTCTAGGGATGCAGTGCTCATCTCCGTTTCAAAGCCAAAGAGCCAGCGCTGTCCGAAGACATTTCCGTGGTCATGTGGCTGGCATGACTAAACACCAAGGCGTGCAGAACGCTGTTACCTTCGCACTGAAGTGGTACCTATTTATCTACTTGCAATTTCTTGCTTTCGAACTGCTAGGTAGGCAGGAGCTGGAAATAGAGACAGGAGCTCACCCCGTCATGCGGCACACTTGGGTCTTGAACTGCTGAACTACCGACCTTCCACAGCCTGCAGTTCAGTGTCTTAACCACTTGAGCCACCGCAGCTCCTCAATGGCACTGTACTCCACTGAGAACCCTGTCCTTCCCAGGCTCCACCTCCCTTCTCCAGGAGTTTCCCAGTGAGGATCTGGCAACCCTGCTGCCCCATCTCCCCACCCCCCAGTGGCCAATGGGATCTGACAACCCTAACAAGCCTATAGTTTCCCCCCCTCTTTTCCATGGCTCATTAAATTCTACTATTGGATTCTTTTACTGAAAGTCACCATTATATTTTCTGTGTACATTGTTTCTTTTCCTCAATACAGTGCTGTGACAACATCCCCTGCCCCAATTTTTGGAGCAACTTTTTTGGGTGTCAACTTTCTGCAAAACTGCAGATTATCATTTCAATAATGCAGTGTGTGAATGGGCCATAGCCAGTCCATATAGGGTAGAGATGAGGTCTGCTTTGTATGTAGATTGCTAGAGATCGTCCGTCAAGTAGATCAACCCAGCTTGTCAGCCCATTTCTAATCTGTCTCCTTTCTGAGCCACCTTTCCCCTTAATGCACTTATTCCAATTTGGCTAGCACCACTTCTTCGGTCCCTGTTGCTGGTGGCCCTCCCATCCCTTAGGCCCTGTGTAAACATTTATTTGGAGCCCTTTTTGGAGCTATCTTTGCAGTATGGGAGCTATAGCAACCCAGCTCATTCCTCCACCACAAAGATAACATCAGAAACCTCAACTAGGGTCAGGGCTTTTTTGGCCCTGGACCCTAGCTATTGGAATGAGCTACCTTATGAGATCAGGGCCTGTCACATCCCCAGGGGCCTATCCCTTAAGATCTGGGATGTTCAAAACAGTTTGGTGGTGGGGAAATCTCTGGTAGTGCCTTAATTTCTCTCTGGTAGCATGGATGTGGGTTCTTTTGGATCAGTAACGTATTCCAATTGGCTTAAAAACAACATTAAATGTACAAAATATAACATACAATAAAACATACAAGTAGGGGAAAGGGGTATGTACATAGAATAAAGACGAACAAAACAAACCTAGCTCTCTATTGGGTGCACTGACCCTAAGCAGCTTGTTTCCTGCAGCAGATGCCAAAGCAGAGTTCACCAAGGATAACACCTCCTTCTCCAGGCCGCCAGCTCTTGAACTGCAGCCTCCTTCCGTTGCCTCCCGACATCTTGCCTACAAGGATGTGTGTCTTTCTCTTGCAAAGTTCCTGGCATCTCCTAGGATCCTGGTCCAATTGGATGCTTAGCTATCCCTGACTCCTGGCTAAATACTTATCTAGCTGTCATGAGCTAATTGACAGACCAATCAGATTGAGAACTGTCAAGATCTAGAAAGTCATGCTGGTGCTTTGACAGCTTCCCGCTGGTTGCTGTTAAGCCAGCCGGTAATTTGTAGCAGGTGCTTGTTAACTGATAACACTGTAGGTCTTATATGATCCAGTCACAACTTAACAACTTACTGACAAATGCAAAACTTAGGCCTTAAAGGCCCAGTTACTGTGACAGGGACCTGTGGGACCTGTGACAGTTCTGCAAAGCCTGTAAAACAGAGCTCTTCCGTTGGGCTTTTAGTTGAGGTAGGGGTCATCTATTTTGAACTTCCCTGTGATGATTCCTTGTTTGAGAGTGTGTGTGTCCCTTTAAATGTTTGATAGTAACTAGTGTGCCATGACTGGTGGATGGCAGAGTGTGGGAGGAGTTATTCTGTGTGGGTGTGTCAGTGAGAGATTGGAGAATGACAGTTGGAATAATGACAGTAGGAGAAAAAGCAGTTGATGTTGTGTGGAGTCAGAGAGAGAGTGAGCTGAAAGTTCTGTGTGGAATAATTTCTACGTGAAGTCAATGCTGTGTGGTATCAGAGAGAGAGAAAGCAGTATATATCTGTAAAGTGAAACTACAGTTCTTAAAGAGAGTTAAAATTACTCAGTTTTTCAAGCCTGAGTACCACAACTGGGAGGGGGGGCCCCTCCCCATCAGCTGAGCCACTACTCCCACTGGCTCCCAGTGGGAAGCCTGCTAAACACTGGTGAAGGTGGCCTTCAGCTACCGCAGTGTCTCAAAGAACTAGGGCTTTAAATGTCAACCTGCACCTTGCACTGCAAGTCTGAAGGTAAACTGGAAGCCAGTGTGGATGATCTAACACACTCTTACAT